ACCCATCTGACTGTGTAGGCATGGACGCCACAGTTGCCTAATTTCTTAATGAGAATGAGATGAGAGACAGTGTCAAAGGCCTTCCTAAAGTCCAAAAGACTACGTCCACTGCTACACCTATTTGAAACAGAAAAGAAATCAAGCAAAAATTTTCCAAACTTATATGCATGTCTAATTTGATTATGATGAAATACCTCTCTGAGGTTCAGAAATTCTGTGAGCAGACGCTAGAACTGAATATCCTCTACCTTCATAATTTTAAGAATGCTCAGATACTTAAATTCCCCCCCAAAATTTTGAAATGCTGAAGACAATTAAGGGCTATAAAAATCTCTCACAGATTACTAGTTTAATTACGCCTATTAAAAATAAACGACACTTGACCCATGGTATTAGTGAAATTTTAGATTTCCTTGACACCAATTCTGACTAAAGCTTCTGTAAAGTCCTTTTCCCCTTACAGTTTCTATGGTCTTTGCAGTAGGTTTTGCTTGTAATCTAAAACTTCTTTTGTAACCATTTTATGAGCAGAAACAAAAAAGCAGAAAATCCCTGAAAGCACACTTACATAGAAGAACATTAAAAGCATGATAGATTAATAGTTTTGGGATACCTGTAGCTGGAGTAGAATTGTTCATGGTAAAAGGCCCGTTAGTGATACCAGAAGAAAGAAGCTCGTCAGATCCACGCTGAAAAACAAAATGCAAGATTATTAGTAAAGGTGTTCTGGACAATGGTCCACTTATTTATTACACTTATATCACCACGCTTCCTACTGTACCATAATGCACACTGCTTATTACACAACAACACTTCAGGAACAAAAAAAAATGCAAATTAAAGTGTTTGGGTAGCCACACAACTCTGACTGGTTCCATCTCAATTTACTGAAATTTTACTATGAGTTTAGCTGTATTACATTGACAACTAATCTACTGCTTCTTCTACTACAAAAGGCAGAGGAACAGAATGTAACAATATGCAAACTGATTTGATCATGTCTTGCATAAAATAGGCATCACTAAGTGACACACAAGGACTCTATTAAATAATAATTTAAGTCCTATCTGCTGCTGTTATGCATGTCTCTACCCCAATCTGACTCATGCTACACAGTAAAACCTCCTGATTTAAGCAATACAAAAGAGGAACCATTTTGGATTGATATACCTGATTGCACAAGTAGCAACATGTTTATAACGTATCGTGTCTTTTCATAATGCACAACTGCAACACGTGTAAAACAGAGCAGCATTCTTCACAATGAATTGTGCTTTCCAGGATCAATTTTTAAAAGCTAATACTTAATACTACATAGTGGCAAATATCTATCCGTGTTGTGATTAATACCTACAAAAACTATTGCTTAAAAACTTTTGAATTTTTTTTTAGTGTGGAAATTCAGAATAGAAAAAATTCACTGAAAAAATTATCAAACATCAACCATGCCTTTAATTACATAACCAACTTAACATGTCATTAAAAAAAATGAAATAAATCACATTCATTCTGCCCCTCTTCCTTCTGAAACAGGAAAAAATAGTAGTTAAACTTTTCAGAAAGAAAAAGGCTTCACATTACTGAATTACTTCCTGCAAAAATGTTTAAAAGCATAGGGGCCAGCAGACAGACTGAGGCTGTGATTCAACACAGCTTTTGAGTACCTGTTTAACTTAAATTCCATCTTGTCAATGGCACTTACGCTCATGCTTCACATGGGAAGAAGCATGTGTTCAGTTTATATGTTAACATCTGTAGAAGTAGCTTTTGCAAAGCAGAGTCTCCCTGAAGAATATGCATTTCTGAATCAGGATGAACTTAAGCATATTATTAAAAATTAAAATCACATGCTTGAAGTGTACCACTGAAGAGATACCTCAGCCATTATTGGGAAAAGGGAATTCAAGAGACAAGGACCCTTCATTAAAAAAAACCACATGCCGTGAGTGTTTGGATATTAAGCTGTTCATTCCAGTTGATTACAACTGCTGCTACAAAACATACTGAAAGAGGATGTTCCCCCAAGCAATCGAGACAAAACTATGTAAACCTTTGCAAATCAAAAAGTGATGCTTTGAATTACACCTGAAACTGACTAGGAATTAACTGTGATACCTGATAAGCAAAACCAAAACAATACTGATTTCAGGGAATCTAACAGCCAGGTTAATTTCACTCTCATTCAGCTTTGGAATACTCTTTAAAGACAGCTCCACTAAAGACTACTGCAGTCATTGAGTTTAGCAGGCCCCAAGGGCCTAGGCATAAGTTACAGTAAAACTGAATTCCAAAAGATAATTATTACCTTGCTATATACAAACGAAAAAGGCACAGTGGGTTACTAATGGCAGCTGAGATTTTAAGGGTAGATAGGTATATGCAAAAGTGACCAAACCATCAGCCTCTTGGTTGAAGCATGAATACAATGCCTATACAGCCATCCATGCATTTATACCACTCCCCCTACAAATGTTTCATCCTTCCTTCTGTACCATGACTTGTCTCAGCTAAAATAATCATAAACCAGTACAAATCAGTTCCAATACCTAGCACTGGCTTAGCAGTAGGGGTGTGCAAAACGGGCCGTATTCTATTCAGATTCGGCTTTGGGGACAATGACTGGATTCGTTGATTTGGATCACTGTCCTGATTCAATCTGGCCGAATCTGAACCTGAAGATTTTATGCTGATTTGGAGAATCAGCAATTTGGCTATAGACACAGCTTTAAATGGTTTTTCTACATACCTCAACATACCAGGCGTGGCCTGTGAATACTACGATGGTGGGGGGGGATGGAGCGTCCCACAGGAACACAGGGGGACCTCCCCCCCTGGAGTACTTGGCAGTGGACCTGGAAATGGACCAGAAGTAGCTGCCGAGCATGTGGGGAACGCCCCCCCATGGCTTGGCAATCAACCATGGGGGGACCCCAGGTACCCCCCCAGACCCAGGAGACACCAGTCACTGAGCCAGGGAGCAGAGGTTCTCTCAGGCACTCCCTGGTGGACCCAGAAGTTAACCAGAAGTGCTTCTGGTCCACTTCTGGGTCCACTGCCAAGCACACTGGGACACCCTCTCCCACCCCATACTCCCGTGGGATGCTCCGTCCGCCCCAGCATCTCAGCATTCACAAGCCGCCTGGTACATTGAGGTATGTAGAAACAACATTTAAAGCTGTGTCTATATCTGAATCATTTAATCTCTCTGAATCAATTCGGAGGGTTCCGCTTAGATTCAGACAGATTAAAAGGTCTGCCAATTTGGAGATTTGGCCGCTGAATCACGCTGAATCTCCACTGAATTGAAATCAGTGACCGAAGCGTCGCACAGCCCTACTAAGCATACTCTGAAATCACCAGCTGCTGCAACGGCCTCAGGGTTTCTGTAGGCTTAGGGCAGAGCCTCCCCCACGCAGCGTGGGGCAGCAGGGATTGCCCCCTCACCTGGCAGCAGCCAGTGAATCGGGGCTTTGTTGTTGTTAAAGGGCCAGGAGCTGGGAAAGCAGAAGGGGCAGCCATTGACAGCAGGCGGGGGATGGGGCCAATTTGGAGATTCGGATCAAATCGATTCGGGACAGATTGGAATCACCCAATTGAATCACTGTCCCCCGAATCAGCCGAATCCGAATCCAAAATGAATACTAGCTGCTTCCCACAGGCCTAATGTATATATAGTACAAAAGATGCATTAGTCCAAAGCCAAGACTCATGATGTACCACTGAGTTCATCGGGCTGGCCTCACCACAAATCAACAGTTTCAAGCCATGGTGACCCCATAGATCAGCAATGCTCAGTATGCATGTACTCCAGATACCCCCCCCACCAGGATCCATGTGCTAATTAGTCCCCCAGTCATGACTGGAACCAGAGTTTGTGTCAAGTCCTTCAATGCCCCAAATATTTTTATGTAGATGATGGGTGTAGGTTGTAGCCATGTTGGTCTACAGACATAGGCAATCA